CTCCTGGTTAATAGTTGTTCCTCACCTTTTTCTGCTCCCAGAGTTTGATGGGGTAGAAAAACTTAAACAAGGCAAAAAGAGATGCCTTAAAAAACCTGACTTCCATGAGTATGGTAAAGGGCAGATTACAGTCTTTCCTTAAATTAGAAAATTAAACAGAAAGTAATACATGTCAAAGATCAAACAGGCAAGGAATAATCTGCTGCTGCAATTACTACCATCAGGGATTGGATCAGTTGATACTTTCCAAATACAATTTGACATCTCATAAAAATTACAGCTAAACCAACAGAAACTAATTTCTGTTTTTCACAGGTGTCTATCAGGTTATAAACACACCTAACTTATTGGTTGTAATAAATGCATAATGGAAGGATATAGTCTAATATAAGCCATAGAACTTCCGAATCACCTGTGAAAATAAACTGAAATGCAGTATTTCTGCCTGTCAGTAACAGTCCTTAAACATTTAGTGGCTTTTGAAAAATTAGAATTTTAGTGCTCTTTGACTGAAGTTTTTTTTTCATTCCCCTATGATCTAGATGAGAATGGTCTGTCTGGTCATAGAAATGTTTCTCCCGGACTAGAGGCAGATCTTCTGACTTATTCCATTGATCTAAACAGTATTGGATAGAACCAAAAATTGTTTTTTTTCTTGATTTATTGAGATCACAGAACTATAGAAGCATTTAGGCTGGAAAAGAACTCTAAGATCAAGTGAATCATTAACCCAGAACTGCCAAATGTTTTCCTCAGTTGCTTTTGGGTTGATTTTTTTTTTTCATTTTTCATTTAAATAAACAATTAGGAGTTTATTTCAATACCTTGATGCTACTCAGAGATTTTCAGAAAATCTTTGGAAAAATTCTGACATAATTTCAGATTGCCATGCACATGGTGCAATAATCACACAATCATAGAATCATTAAAGTTGGAAAACACCTCCAAGATCATCAGGTCCAACCTTTGACCAAACACTACCATGTCACTAAACCACAGCACTAAGTGCCATGTCCAGTCATTTCTTGAATATTTCCAGAGATGGTGACTCCACCACTTCCCTGAGCAGTCCATTCCAACGCTTAATCACCCTTTCAGTGAAGAAATTCTTTATGACTTCCAGCCTGACTCTCCCCTGGCACAGCTTCAGGCTACTTACTCTTGTCCTCTTGCTGGTTGCCTGGGAGAAGAAAATGACTTCCACCTGGCTACAACCTACACTCAGGAAGTTGTAGAGACTGATAAGGTCTCCCCTCAGCCTCCTTTTTTCCAGGTTAAACAACCCCAGCTCCTGCAGCTTCTCCTCACAGGACTTACTTATAGACCCTTCACCAGCTCTGTTGCCCTTCTCTGGACTTGCTCCAGCACCTCAATGACATTCTTGCAGTGAGGGGCCAAGAACTGGACACAGAATTCGAGGTGAGGCCTCACCAGTGCCGAGTAGAGAGGTACAATCATTGCCCTGGTCCTGCTGGCCACAATATTGCTGATACAAGCCAGGATGCCATTGGCCTTCTTGGCCACCTGGGCACACTGCTGGCTCACATTCAGCAGCTGTTGACCAGCATCCCATATTCTTCTCTGCTCAGCAGTTTTCCAGCCACTCTTCCCCTTAGGCTGTAGCACTGCATGGGGTTGTTGTGAACAAAGTGCAGGACCTGCCACTTGGCCTTGAATCTCATGTCTCTGGCCTTTGGCCCATACATCCAGAATGCACAGAAGCAGTGAAAAAAAAAAAAGTAGACTTCCGATAACAAAAATTCTTGTAATGGGACAATATAGTTAAACACAAGTGCGTAATGTTAATCATAAAGTTGTGTTTTCGCTCTAGCATACCCAGCTTTTCTTGATTAATTTCAGATATGCCTTTCCTTTATCAATAGTTCGTTCTAATAATAAGAAATAATAAAAGATTCCAGCACCACAAGAATGGTACAGTACAGTTTTTATATAAGATTTATAGCGTTTGAAATGCTGCACTATTTTATACAAAAGGACAAAAGCTAACACATGTCAAGTATGTAGGAAATACAGAAGTCTAAATGAGATAGAACCAGAGTGTACTTTTGGTCTTCATGATACTGTAGTCGGAGAATACACGACTCACTTAGGATAAGATAAAATAAAATAGATCATGTCTGATCTGCTCATAGGAAAGCTGGAAAAAATCTAACATAACAAATACTGAGAAAAGTCAAAGTTATAACACAGGAAACATCTCTTAACACTACTTGAAACAACATTGGACACATGTAAAATTTAAGTAGGAAAGATAGAAAAATATCAGAGATCATATTTGGCTTTAAACTTTTGGTCTAGGCTGAAACATGGCACAGAAAATTTCAGCACAGTATGATCATTCTTTTGTAATTACTGAATTCAATGTAAATGACTCCCAAAACAAAACATCTTCCCTTAGAAACTTTCACATTTCACTCTTTCCCATTAGTTAAATATCATGTGGGGTTTTTTTCTATAAACACTAAATTGTGAATGCCCTTTCTTAAACTTTTCAGTTCTAAGCAAAAAAAAAAAGTCATCTATTAAAGAAAAAAAAAGAGATTTTTTTCCCTGTATCTTAATAGATTTTATTTTCCTCAAGGAGAAAGATATACAATCAAAAGTTGTAAAGTGACAATTTCCAAACATATTTGACTAGTTAATGTGGGCCAAATTATATCGAAAGAACCATATATACTGATGAAAAAGCATTAGAAATCTGAGGAAAAACTCAACATTTCTTACCAATTGCTCCTTCATTTTAGAAGCAAACTGTTATATCTTGCACGGCAGAATGGACATAATAAAGCCTATGTCCCTTAGGCCCTAGTGATATGTACCGTCATGCTGTAATAGCACCCACCATGGGCTCCCAGAGGACACCAGAGCTGCTGGGGGATGATGAATATCTGCTCTCAGAGCAAGAGCTAGTAGCAGTTACTGAGACAGGATACTGTTTTTCATAGAACCCCAGGTCTGCAGCCCCCAAAAAAACTCATATGTTTGGAAACAGATGGAAACTGAGACTTGCAGAAAAAATTTTCTTATTAACATAATCTGTGTAAAATAATTAGAACCATTAAAATTCACAAAAGGACTGCAAGAAAAAAATATTAGAGATGACACAGCTATAAACAGTTAAATTTGAATAGTTTTTGCAAAGAAAATCCAAAATAAAGATGAAGCATCATATTAATTTCACCAAAAATATTGGGTAACATAAACCTGCATGGCTGCTACCATTTCCCTTCTTTTCCTTACTCTTTTCTGTCAATCCCTTGCCCTTGAGAGCAGGAAATCTGCTAATACATGGTGTAACCCTATTTCTATTTTGACATCATATTTGACCTTACAGCATGACTTCAACATATTTCAACTCATTTCAGCTGCGCTAAAAAATCAACAATATCAACACTAAGCAAAGTCCTATGAGTGGATCAACTGGATCAGTACAAAAGATCCATTGTTTTTCTACTGGCACAATAATTTAATAGTAAGGAGTGCTTATCTTTTCATTGAGACTGAAATTCATTCTTGTTTAGACTAGTGTCTAAACTTGGCACATTGCACATATGCTATGGAAATTCCTTTTAAGCCCTATGAAGGATTTAGCGCTTTAGAGGGATGTAGGCAATTTATAAGCATCTGAAATTCACTTTAGAAACTTTAGACGTCCACTGTGGCACCAGTGCTGAGAGTCATTGAGTTACTGTTATGCAGCAGAATGTTAGAAACCTCATAGCCAAGGAAGAGATGGCTTCAAACAGCAAAGGCATAGATGAGGCATATTACATTTTTCTCAGTGGCAAAACACACTAAAGTAATTTGTGAAACCTAAAGTATGAGCAAAGAAACTTTACTACTATGTGATTCATACTAGTAGTTTCAAAAAGTGCTTGAATTTGTTCAAAACATTTTAAAAATTTTAACTGTATATTGCTTGAGTTTATGCCAGTTCTGGTGATTGTGAAATTTTATCATAAGCCTGCCCTATTCAATTGGTATTGCAGAGCATCAGAAATGTTAATGATTTTAGAAATGTGTCCAACAGAAGTGAAATATCATCAACCAAAGTTTGGTATTGGTTCACTAAAACTATCTTTTTTATTTTTTGGTTAATCCTTTTTTTTAAGGTAACAGACAGAAAGTATAAAAGAAAAAACTGTAATTTAAACAACACAATCACCTAAAATAGCAAATAAAGAAAATAAAATTACTTTCCCAAAGAACTGTCCTACAAATCACATCATGAACCTAGAGGGGGAAAAGGCTCTGTATGGGCAGAATAATCAAAGAAGTAAGTGTTGTAAAAATAATTAGCCCGCAGCCCACTCGGGGCTACTGAGAAATACGCTACTGACCTATAACATGGAATACCTTTAAACACCTCTACTGTAATGCAAGGAAGAAGGCAAAGGCTGTTGAACTACCTGAGAAGTCTTGGAACTACCTATTAATTACAGTGGGTTATTAACTGTATATGTGCTTAAACTAGATATGGTCTACACACTCACAAAACACAAATAAAGTGGTAGAGTCATAAACAAATAGCCATCAAATAATCAAAGAGCATTTTTCATCTGAGAATTACTAGTGCTAAGAAAGAAACAATATCTGACTTTAGTTGCAGCTCTAAATGATCTTTAAGAAGCACTGGCATTTGGATATTTTTCCCTAAAATATTTATCTTAGAAATTGAAATCAGTTTCAGTATCTGCCAAAAATGTTTAATAAGCTGCAAGATAGGAAAATATACTATTAAAATAGCAAAAAGTTTTGATTCCTCACAGTTACTTTTAAATCTAATTGGGACCAACTGGCCTCATTGCTTCTTATAAACTTAGCAATATATATTCAGAAAAAGAAATAAAAATGAACAGATGTTTCTCCTTAAAGAAATCAGACAAAGATTTTTCTTACACAATAAATCAGCTGCTAGTGGATTTCCAGGACACTGCTCCAGGCTAACTGTTTAGGTATGGCTTAAAAACCTGGTTTACCTCTGTGTGTATCCAAAACTGGTAAAGTAGATTAAACTGTAAATGAACAGCAAACACCGAAGGGGGAATGAAAAGAGCCATGGGCAAGTTGAACATCTGAAAAACAAGAAAAAAATCATATATTAGATATATAATTCTAAAGTCATGATAACATAATGAAGTACTACCTCAGGAGCGCAAAGCACTGCACGATATACTTGCTTCTTCTAATATGTCCTTAATGTAGAAATTACACAGCATACATAGATACTGATCATTATACTACTACTAGATGTGCTACAGCAAATGAGACATAAATTGATCCAAAAGTGGTTTCCCAAAAGTCATACTGAGCAAGTAGAAAAATCAAGACAAGAACTCATAAATCCTGATATTAGATGTTTATTCTGTGTATTACATGGAGCAGACAGCATCATATCCTTGACATGAAGGGTTCACTTAAAGGGGAGAATTATCATAGAGTGATAATTCAAGGTGTGATTATCACAGAGTAATAATTCAAGGTGTGAATTTATAACACCACAGTTTTAACATCCAAACTCCCTACATGAACACCATAAGGGTAAGGCCACTTACTTGGCTTTCCAAGTTAATTATAAATTCTCACCCTAACTTTCCTATGGCATCTCCATTAAAGTCTGAGTCCTAAAACATGCTAGCATGAAAACAGTATCAGAAAACTTCTTACTTAGGAAACACTCTGGTATCTTACATACAGAGTAAGTCACAGGAATTCCAGAATTAATTGTTTAACTGGTTGAGCAATAGAATAAAACTTCCGAGACCCCCATACATTAAAAGTCAATCTGCTTCCTTCAGAAAAAGGCTTATATTTTTCTTTTCCCTTGTACCTGACATTGTATTGTATCACCTGCAATTAAAATTTAATTCTTCTCTAAAACAGAGATTTTTTCCTAAACCAAACAGTAGCAGAAATATCTTTAAAACTTTAAATCTCTTTAGCACTCAGGGAAAATCTTTGCAGCAGACAAGAGATCCATGTGAAACATGGAAAAATTAGCAAAATCTGTTTCCAAATTCCTATTGTCCTTTTCACTAAAATCAAAACTTTAAACATCAGCGAAAGCAGTCTGATAGCCATGACAGGCCTCCTGAACCAGGAATTCCTTTAGTGTAGGTCTGGACATAGCATTTAAAGACAATATTCTCTCAGTTTTAGCTGAAAGGTCTACTCAATAGGTAGATGTCCCACTGAGGCTCTGAAACAACTGCCCCCCATCCCTGTGATGTAACTGATGCTCTCAAGGAAGTCACCACAGTCATATCTCACTGTGATGAACCAAGAAGGACTAAGGCCCTCAAATCTCAGTTTAGTCTGCTGGCTTCAACACCAGACAAGGGCTGAAGCACTAGGAAAAAACCCTATAGACTTTGCAGGATCATCTGGCACGGTTGGGACAGCTGTGATTTCAAAAACTACACTCAAAGACTTCACGGATCACAGCTGCCCCACAAATGACACATGGGGTGTTTCTGGCTGAATGTCTTGGAAGTTGTTTTCCAAGACTTAAAGGAATTAAAAGGTAATAGAAGAATACTGAGCTTCTGGAACTTAGGAGAAATAAAGTAAACAGTTATTTTGTTTTAATCACTCTGATCCTCAAAGGCTGATTTGTTTGCCTAGCATTTATAAAACAAAAAAGGAAGCAAACTATACTTGGAAAATGAAATTTGGGCATTCAATCCATAAGAATCACTCAGCCTAAGCAAACTCACAAAAAAACCCACAGCAACTCTTATCTAGGGTGGGAGCTGGTAAATGCCATCGGGGGGGGGCATTTAGGCATGAAATTCTGGAGTAGAGGTCAGCATAAGACGTATATAAGAATTAAAAAACACAGATCAGACTGACTTGTGCAGAAGAGTACTAAACAGAAGAGTGACTTTAAAATCCACAAATCTCCATGCTCTTAAACAGAAATGTAGTGCAAGCTTCCCAATACTTCAAAAGAAATGCTCTAAACACTGGTATGAAGTCAATCTCTTTTCTGAGTTCCTTCTTCCTCCTTCCTTTAACCTGGACCACCTCAGTAATTAATTGCTAAAAGATATAAAAAAAAAACCACTGAGAGATATTTGTCCCACAACAATCAGAGGGTTGGCATATTTTTTCTCAAAGGTTATCTTACATAGAAGACAACACAGCAGGACACACAGCCACATTTTTGTAAAGCTACTTCAGTTTTCTCCTATTATTGATTGTACCAGTGTAATGGCATGATAACATCAGGAATTTTTTTTTAAAGGAATGGAGAGGACATTGATTTAAAAAGGAAAAAAAAAAAACCCCCACACACAAAAAAAACCCAGATGTTTTTCAGATTATACATGGAAGTGGTTGCAGGATTGAAAGCAGGGTTAAAAAACTATGCACTTTTCCCCTAAAAATATCAGAGGCAATTTGGTGGTATTTGCACATGATTCAGAGGAGAAAGTAGGATCATCTTCATATTTATTTTCTAACCTGCTTTTCACTAGAATTTCCCTGCTAAGTCATGAGATGAAGGAAATTTTATGTAAATCTACAGGTAAATTTGAGATTGACAAAGGAGTATGCTTTCCTAACTGCCTCACATTTCTTTGCAATATAAGCTTTATTTTTCACAGAACGGATTACAAAGATCATTTACAGAAGTGCAACCCTTAGAGAGGAATGAAAACCATACAAAGATTCATTTCTACTATTTGTGGTTCCACTGAAACAAGATCAATGTCAGAAAAAAAGAAATCATTAAATAGTTTTTCCCTGGAAATGCCAATTCACCAAATCAAAACATTTCATGAGAATGTACCAACTTTCACTAATCGGTAGAGGAAAAGCTTTCCTGGCTCCAAGATGGAATTTTGGGTCAAAACTGCAGAAAAACGTTTATTACACTCACAGATCTTTTCCAAGTTGCGGATTCAGCAGCAGACATTGAGAAAGTGCCACAATAGTTGACTGGAAAGGCACCCAGTGAGAGTGGAGAGGAATTTTTCATGTGGAGCTGCCGCACTGCAGCTCTGCCTCCACGCCAAAGGCATTGCCCCTTTGGAAGAGTGAATGTCCACTGCACACTCTCCGGTGGGGGCATCTCTACCTTTCTCCCTTTTATTTGTAAGTAAAAGCTTTTTAATGCTTCCACTACAGAAAGGGAAAGAATTGAAACTCCTGAGGTTTAGCAGGATTGCTGAGCTTCCTGCGCCAAGCCCCTCCACTTCCACGCTGGGTCTCTGGGGCCACCTGCCGATGCAGCCACGGAGGGTCTGCAGGGTGGGGGGGGCTGCAGGACCGCTGCCAAGAACTAGTTTGTGTGGGCATGAACTTGTGTGAGGAATCTGCAGGAGTTAAAGGCAAGGATAAAAAAACCCCACATCCCTTGCAGTCCTGACAGACTCCTCGGTAGACAAGTGAATTTCTGACTGCTGAAAAGAACTGCGTTACCTCTTCCCTTTCCAGATTTATATATAGATGTTTCCCCTGCTTTTATATCAAGGCATTATTCAACCCTTTATCTAAATGTATAGTCTAAAGCTATCAAATTATTATGGATCTAATATGTGCAATTAAATCTTACCCTTGGAGGAAAGTTGAGAACTGGTACTCAAAGCATTAAATCAGAGTTTTCAAGGTGCATGTGCAAATCTCTCCTTTCACAACTGCACTTTGACTGTTTCATCATGTATATATTCATTTATATAGCATTATCTTGCATTAGTTTGCTATTTTCTTCTTAAAAAATAATATATATTTTTTCTATGTCTTTTTCCCACAACATGGGCTTCAACACAATCTTTTAATCTTCACAGTAGATTTGCTTCTCTATAGCCCCTCCACTGGAGAAAAAGAAACACTGTGTATGCAAAATGAAGCACTGCACATTTGGTTCCAAATTCAGGAGTACATCTCACACCACTGATTGTCAAGCACATTTTGCAATTCTCTTTCACTTCACATCTTTTCTATCAGTTTGAGCACAACCCACATAGATTAATATGCTGATTTATTTATCTTACAATGTTTAACTTAAAACACTACAGAGCTGGCAGCAGAACAGTCCCACTATCCCACACCCTCCACCACAACTTTCTCACAGCCTCCACAAAACTGAATGTCAAACTGCATTCAACAACATAGTACAATACATATTCAACAACTAGATCACTCTCAGAGAGTAATTAAAGGCTTTGCTGAGTTTCAGCTTCAAGGCAGATCCATTCACGGTATTGGACAAGTCTGGCAATCCAAAAATAGCAGTTCAGTAAGAATTAGCAAGAACTGTGATCATGCACAGTAAGGTTTTGCTGGAAGAAAACTGGCATATGTCTCAAAAGTTCTGGGAGAAGCAAAAACAGTGTTTACACTAACCACATGTTTTGGCTAATACAAAATATTTGGTGAAAAAAAACACTGCACACAAAAGTACAATGTATTCCTAGGCTTATTTCCTTAGCACAAAGCAAATGAGTTTTCAGTGCACATATATTATTTGCCAAGTGCCACCAGTGTGGTCCTGAGGACGGTCTTTGGAATTCAAGGTGGCCAGACATCTTGGTCTTCCTGAATATTTTATGCTTTCTGAGCTATCATCCTCAAAATCATGCAGGCAGACAAAGTGCTCATGCACCCATCCATATGTACACAAGGCCTTTTGTCTTTTTTTGAATTACTGTTTTTGTTAAGCATTTGCACATATGGTCCCAAATGGTAAATGGCCAAAGGTTAAATCTTTAACATAGCAGTATTTAAAGAGGAAGCAGAGTTGTCACAAACATGCATCCCTTCCACTCTTGTTCACTACAGTAATTTCAATTTTAGGTACTCTCACTAACATCAGATGATTATTTACTAAATAAGTAAACAACAAGCATTTATATAAAAGACTTTAAGAAACAAATCTAAAAAATACTACTGCTTCACGATTTTCAGAAGAACTAGCCATTTTCTTGTAACCTAGTACTTTTAACTAATTTAATGATATGCACTGAAAACAGTTACCGAAACAGGCTAAGTCCATGTTCAGTTATGTAAGCATAAATCCAGACTAACTTTACTGAAGTTAAAGGAGTTATACTGGATTTGCATGTGTGAGCACACATTCTTGACTTTGAGTCATTTGCTCACATGCTGGATGTAGAGATTTTCAGAGGACTGTGGGTTTCCTTCACCACCCATATTATGCCTCATTGGTGAGTATATACATGTAAATATATAATTATAGGCATATATTTATATATGCAAATACACAATATTCCTTTTGAAAGCTAATTCTGAAACTTCAAACTTTGAAGTTATTCTTTTTAAATAACAAACAACAACCAGACAAAATACAATCTGAAAAAAAAAACAGTCAAAAGAGAACATGAGAGTGCGACTGAGGAAATCAGCAGTTATCCTGGGCCCAGGATAACTGTATTATGTATTATGTATTATGTATTATGTATTATGTTACATTTATGAATGCATTTGGAAATACATATTTTTAAATCTGTAAATGAATACTCAATTTATATTGCATGTGTACACAGCTCACCATTTCAAATACGTTATATCTGAAATAACACCAGGTAAAAGTAGTGACATACTGCCCTTAAATTCTTAAATAGAGTACTGACACGACATGAATGAGCAGGGACAAATAAATACATCTGCATGTCCAAATCAATTTTTAACAATTATTTCTCTCCCTGATTCTTTCAGTTACACAGACGTATTCTCAAGTAGTTACATTATACTCTGTTCTTTTCCTGTACTTATACACGAATAACTGAATGAAAAAAATTCCCCATTCTACTCATAAAGTTATGAAAATATAAATGCATGTTTATATAATTAGCCTTCTTTAAAGTAAGTACTGTAGAAGTTTTCAAGTTTTTTGTACAAACATTAGTGGATATATTTTAAAGCTTATGATTCTCAGATTCTTCAGTTTCACCTTCTGTGCTTTGATTGTCAAACATCTTTAAATTATGTTTTTCTTTGAAGGAAAATAAACACTATGCTTTCACCTTTACTAAATATTGTTGATACTGTCTGACAAATATTCTGCAACTTACCCAGGAGGTGTATTTCTGCAGTACAGATTGTCTCAAGGCTGTGAATAAGTTGTAATCTTCAGAACTATGGTGTACTTGGTGCGCAGCCCATATTATATTAACCTCTGCAAAACAAATAATTTCTAATGAGGTTTGTACTAGAGAAAAAAAGCAACATTTGTTTCCCAAGGCCTGTTTTCTTAAGCTAAAAGCAACTAAGCCCCCAATTTACACTTTGCTATTTTTCCATATTATAGCAGATAATAAAACCTAACACTCAAAGCTGAGTTTGGGTAGGCTGGGTTACTTGTCTGTCAGTGGACACAAGTCAGTGTGAATTTCATGCTGAGGAAGACGAGGCTGTGACAGGAACTAAAATCATTGTAGGCAGAGCAGAAGGATGTGTGAGATGAGAATTAAATAGCAAAAAAGCCTGAGCTGAGTCCTGATAACACGAATCAATAGGAGCTGTGTTATGGGATTCAGAGAGACAAGGACTGAGGATGCTCTCATGACCACATTTGTTATATTTCAAGACTAGAAGGGGACACAAAATGTTCTAAAAATCTTCTGCATCAAATTTAAACAAATTAACTGGTGTCAGCTTTTATGCTGACATTTTTCTGGAATGCATGAATCTTCAACCCACTTGTACCACAGACCACAAAACACTAATGACAGATGGAAAAACAAGCAGATGGTGCTGGGAACCCTTGACCCAGCCAAAGGAGAAAAGTGGTTCTATTGTTACAGTTAAAAAAAAAGATTGCTAGAATAAGGGCAAAACCAGTGTTAGCCCTGTCTTCTGAAGGCATGACATTTATAATGTGCTGAAGTGAAGAATACTTCAAAATCCTGATTATATTTCAAGGCATTTTCTCATTTAAGTGCAGATCTGGTTGGCCCCTCTGCACTGTATAGTGTAAGTATAGTGATATCTGGCCAGTCTGAAGTGGCAAGACAGACAGACGTTAGGACAAAAATATTCATGGCCATCAGATGTGTACCTTTATCATAGGAAAAGAGAAAGAGATGTGTAGTCAATGCAGCCCAAATAGTGCCTACTTAGCATAAACCTACCTTTAAGATCTCATGTATTTCAAGGGATGAAGTATACACAAAGCTTGATTACAGAAATTACAAGTGGACTGGCTGTCTGCCAGCTGGACACTCCCACTGCCACTGACTTGTTTCACCAGAGCCATTAGAGAAGTGCCTTTGGAGGATATTAGAATCACACTCACAGAACGATCTTATAATGTGTATTTAAAAGTCCTGAAATTGTCTGGTGCCAAGTTTACATCAAATAGTATAGGTCTGGCAATTAACATGCACTTGCAATGTAAAGTAATGCCAAACCCACAACACTTAATGAATCTCAAGGTATCTTCATCATTTCAGGGGACTAGATAGTCTTATCACAGGAGGTAAGTCTTGTGCGCTGCTAGAAACTGAGAATTTTACATCTAATTAATTTTGACAAATTAGTAATTTACATGAAAACATTTCTGAATGTCCTCTAAGTCCTTGAAAATACTTACAGTTGCTGAAGTAAATCTGTAATTTCAACTATAACAAAACACTTAACACTGAATCTGAGAATTCTTTCTTCTTTAAATGTATTTGTTCCTGAAGGAAGAAGTGTTCAGTATATCAAGAATTAATGATATCTCTCCAAAAAAAACTCCAACATCATGTCAGTGCATCTCTGCCTAAGTTCATTAGGAAATTAATTATTCAGGTGAGCTTCAGTATTCAATAATAATTTGTATTTGAAATGTTTCCCAAGACTTCAACAGAAGCTAAATGAGTGAACAAAGCATCTGAAAAGGTGGAGGTTAAAGACCTGTCTCCTTAGTTGTTTTAAAAGCATTTACTTCCTATCACAAACTGTGTGTAACACAAGCCTCCACTCAATGAAGTACAGCTGTTCAAACAGGGTACAGTAACTGGATCTTTCTCCTTTCCCTCAGTCATTTTTCAGCATTATGAGAAGTTCAAGGAAGGGAATCTATGATGATTTTTACAGTCTACTTTCATTGTAGTTAAGGTCAAATGGTTTTCAAAATGAATTACTAAAAAGGCATTTTATTAGGATTCATTTTTCAGTTAAACTGCCTCTTACACTAACAAGTATATGGAATAAGGTAATTGAATATTGGTAAAATGTTAGCCTTTCAGATGTGCAAGTCAGCTTAAATGATCTATCATTCAAAAATATACCACAGGAATATTAGGGACATAAACAAACAATTCTGCCACAAGTAATTTAACTGCTAAAGCTATTTCTGACTTCTGTTACAGCTAAGTGAATTAAATCTTGCTTCTTAATCCTATTCTTGATGACATCAATGGCACAGACTACGTTAAATTACTTTTCAAAATAGGCAAAACTGATGATTGGAAATAATTTTTGTATTAAAAATTTATCTGAAGAAACTGATCATCAATAACTTTTTATTTGAAGCAAAAGAATAACATCATGAAAAAGTGTGAAACAGATCACCCCAAAACTCAGTCTGTAACCATTAGCACATTAAAAATATTACAATCATAATGCCTAGAAGACATCTCTCAAATGCAAGAAACAGACCAAGCATTCTTCAGGGAATACCACTGACTGCTCACCAACTACCCACAACAGAAACGAAATTTTATATGTCTGTAGAAGAGCTGTGGTTTCACTTTTTCATACCTAATGATGATAACTTGAAAGAAAATGATAAAAATTATTTGAAGGATGATGAAATCATAAAAGACTCTCTCACATGTACTTTCTCATATGTATTATTACATAATGACCAATAAAGAGATCAAGATAGATACAGACAATTCCAACACAGATTTAAAAAAAAAAAAAATCAATGTAGAAAATAGGAAGTATTACCGAATTTTATAGAACTCTCCAGTCAAATTCTACTGTGAGGCCACAGAAAAAAATTAGGTGATGGAATTAGAGAAGCCACCAAGACAATGCTTTAATCGAATTTTTGTTGTTTCATGATTCAAACTTGATTGGTAAATACAATTTAAAAAACAGATAACCACAATACAGTTATGCACAAACCTCCTATTTTTAATTCAGGAGAGTGAACATCAAGAATCATAGGATAATTCGGGCTAGAGAGAAACACAGGAAGTCTCTAGTCTAACCTCCTACTCACAACAGGATCAGCTTTAAGTTCCTGAGTACTACACCCAGATGGTCTCAGAAAACTTCTGCATCTTCTGCTGTTATGAAGAACTATAACTGAAGATAAAAGTGGCATTTCCTTTTCATGTAGTTGTGAGGAAAGTTATACAAATCATAACCCAGCACAGCGAGGACCTCCTTTCCTTGTGTGGTGTTCCCCAGATTCCTGTTACCAGATGGAGACCTGACGAACTATTTGCATCTTGCTACTGGAGTTAATTGTTGTTTCATACATTATTATTCTTACCATTGTAGTGGTTTTTTCCATCTCCCAATTTAAACTGTAAAAGAATTAGTATGTAATCACAATGGAGAATAAATGAGGCCATGTAGCTTGGTGAGGAAGGAAGGAAAATTGGTGCTACACAGAAATTTCTCGATGATGGACAGGCCCTCAGTTTTTACCCTAGCCTTTTCAGTCTCTATGAAGTTGTCTCAGAGTCAGACTGGCAGTTGGTAAAATCAGTGGGCTCCAAGCAGTTGAGAGATTTGTATCTTTAAACTAATTCTAAAAGGAAAAGAAGATTTGTCATTTTAGCGTTAGTTCAATATATGAATTCTGTTGTTATAGGAAAGAAAATAAGAAGCTGAGGGAAGTGGTCTGAAGAAGCAGAGGCTTTGAGAGAACTTAACAGTAGCCTTGTAGCACTGGCTATCAAGAAGCTTGAGCCAGGCTTTTTGGAGCAGTCCACTTTTCTGAGTTTTCCTAAATGAAGGTAGATTATTGATGTTAGTCTCCTTTTTCTTCCTTCCCTCCTCCTCCTAACTAATAAATAAAATGTAATGTTTCCCACACTTTCACAATCATAGTGGTAAGGCAACCTATGATTTTACTTAGCCTTTTTTTTTATTTATTTCAAATTACTTTTTCATTACTTCTCAAGTCCCTTTCTATGAGTCTCTAATACAGATCCAATGCCTGGGCCATATTTCACTACTTCTGAAGTATTTCCTTCGTGGTAGTAGAAAATGGTCATCATGCACATAAGATTCCTCTTTAAGAATGCATAGTAGAGAGAGGTCAAAATGAGACTTTTTTTTTGTTAATTTCTGTAATTATAAGTAATTCGAACAGCCCAATACATTTTGGTTAACAAGAGAGAAAATGTATGCCAAAGAAACCCTGTAGTCATTTCAAAGAGTGATGTCAACGAAAACAGCCATTTTACAAAATCCTCAAAATCAGTAAAATGGTAAAGGTTGGATGGATCTTGAGTGAATAAAAAAGATTAGATAAGACCTTTTAATTAAAATATGTGGTTTCTCTGCATACAGCCTTATAAGACCTGGCACTAAAGTAATATGGAAAAAAATACAGATGAATTATGTAAAGTTTCCATTCTCTTTCAGTCAATACTGACTGTACCTAGGAGAACAGGTGAAAGTTTCCCTTCGGTACCTACTTAAATTTAAACAGAGCCTTTGCTATGCTTGCTATCTTTTACAAGACTAGATACCTTTAGCATTCAGTGAGGAATGGAACTACAATTTATCTAGCCAGAAACTTAAAAGACAGCAAAATTACATTTACTAAGCTATGGATTACCACATTACACTGAAGTCCACAAAGCCAAGTACATGGCAAAGAACCCCCTTGTCCATGGTGTGGTTCCCACTGACCTAATCTGCTGCTTCTTACAGCAGCTGTAACCTGTAGGGTTACAAGCAGAAAAGGAATTATCTCATGAGTCTACTTCTCTCCAGTCAGAATTAGTAGAAACCCCAGGACCACCAAGGAAAGGAAAATGGCGTAGAAGCTAAATTTTTCAGTCATTCCTTTTCTATGCATTTCAACTGTTCCTATAAAGATAAAACAGTGAAAAATACATAGTTTTAAATAATTTATCTGCTAAGCTATTGGCTTTTCTTATCCACAAAAAACTCCGTCTGATTACTCACGACCCTCCTGCCTTGTTCTAATTGATTTGTTCA